CGAATCGCTCCCCGTTCTCATTCATTTGTCCCAAGCCATGTTGTCCCATAATTCTTTCATACCCCATGTTGTCCTGACCAATCTTGGCATTGGCATCTCCCTTTATGATGTTGACATTCTTCCTTGGTAGTTAGTCGATGACCCCCTGGAGCTGGCTGTAAAAGGCATCCTTGTCTTCATCCGAAGCATCATTTGTTGGGGTGTAGAAATGTACTATATTCATGTTGATGCCCTTGCACCTTGTAGTGAATGAAGCCATGATGATCCTTTCCTCGTGTGGTTCCCATCCTCTAAGTGACTTCTGTGCATGCTTACTCAAAATGATTCCCACTCCTTCCGCATGGTACTTATCTTCCCTCCCTGAATACAATACTTGTTCCCCTGAGCTGAGCTGCTTCTGTCCAGACTGTACCCATTGTGTTTCGCTGACTCCTAGTATGTGCAGTCTGTATCTCTTCATTTTTGTACTACTTGAGAAGTCTTCCCTGCTTCATACGAGGTGCGAACATTCCACGACGCAATCCGGAGAGACTTGTTCGACAGAGAAAGTTTCAGGTCAGAAGAGTCCTTTCGGCTTTGTCCGCTGTCTTTCATTGTTCCTGCTGATGCAGAAGCTCCTCCGTCTCCCAAGATCGAAAAATAAAAAGCTGTGTTTGTCCGTGTTTCTGTAACTTACTGTTGGGTAGTTGGCCCTCCGCAAACTGGCACTTTTCGGGCGACCAGACCTATGCACTTTTAGTCGCCTCTTACGACACGCAGTATCACGGCAAGTGTATTCTTAGTTCCCCCATAGTAAAACTACGGGGCCCCCCACCAGCAGGGGAGGATTTGTTTAATACAGTTAGCTAAACATGGCTGAAGAAAGGAGGGTTGGGGGACCTGTTTTCTTTCGGCTTGATGTTGGTTTGTAATAAGTGCAAATGCTTTATTCTCCCATAGACACAGTTTACATCGTCTTGGGGGCGGACTGCCTCAACCCTATTTTTCAGGGTAGAATGAGACTAGCGTGCAACACACCACCCTTACCAAGGGCATTGTTCCGTGAGGCTAAATCATAATTCAATTCCAGTTGCTAGGTCGATCATTTTCCGGGTCACCTGATACGTTTGATGAAAACAACCTCCAGAAGTTTATAGATTTTTAGGAATTTGATTTTTTAGCTCGGGTAAAGAGAAGTATAACATAGACACAATAATGATCAAGTAGTGTATGCAGGACATATTATAGGCCTAGATAGAAACAATAGTGGGACAGAAAAGAACAAGGGCCTATGTATCATTGGCGCCCTCGAACCACCCGCTGACAATTATTATTACATTTTCTGTAATATTGTGCCCTGGGTATAAAATAGATAAATAGAGAGAAAGAGAGAGAGAGAGA